AGCCCTGCTGGATCAGACCAGCGAGGGTCCCTCTAGTCCAGCATCCCGTCTCACACAGGGGTCTCAACCAGTTCCTCTTAAGGGCCAACAACAGGACAGAGAGGCAGAGGCCTTCCCCTCATAAGGACATCAGAAGAGCCCTGCTGGATCAGACCAGTGAGGGTCCATCTAGTCCAGCATCCTGCCTCACACAGTGGCACCAACCAGTTCCTCAGGAGGGCCAGCAACAGGGCAGAGAGGCCGAGGCCTTCCCCTGACTGAGGCATTCCCTCCTGGCACTGGGACTCAGAGGATTAGCCCCTCAGTCCCCATGGCTAGTAGCCATGGACAGACTTATCCTCCATGAATCTATCTGATCACTTTTTAAAGCTGTTTATTCCTGTGGCCATCACTACATCCTCTGAAAGTGAATCCCACATTTTAATCACTCTCTTTGTAAAGCAGTATTTCCTTTTCTCCGTCCTGAACCTACTGCCCATCAGTTTCACTGGATGCCCTCGAGTTCTAGTATTTCGGGAGAGGAAGAAAAATGTCTCCCCTTTAGTTATCTCTTTTCTAAACTGAAAAGTCCTGGGCTCTTCAGCCTTTCCTCATCGTGAATGCAGACCACCAAGGAAGACTCTGCAGAGGAAGGCAAGGGCAAGCCACCTCTGCTTCTCACTTGCCTCGAGAGCCCCTGGCCGGGGTCACCACATGTTGGCTGAGTACTGACGGCACACACAGCAGGGGCTGTGAAAGAGTTCTACCAGAGATTTTGGAGAGCTGCTACCCATCAGAGTGGACAGCACAGACCTGAATAAACCAAGGATCTGACTCAGTGTAAAACACCTTGGACCTTTGGCTTGATCGCACAAAGCAGTTCTTATTTGCTTATTATGAGGCTTTTCCAAGCTTTGCTTGCTTAATTTTTACAGATCAGGCTGCTGCCAAAGGCACAAGAGCTCAGTGGGTAAAAGGAGCTGGCAACTCAGTTTTCTGAACTGATTCGGAGTCCAGTAGCACCTTAAAGAGGGGCTGCAGTGGCTCAAGTGGTTAAGACGTTGAACTGCAGACTGGAAGGTCGGTAGTTCAGGAGTTCGAGGCTCGAGTGCCGCGTGACGGAGTGAGCTCCCGTCTCTGGTCCCAGCTCCTGCCAACCTTGCAGTTTGAAAGCAAGAAATTGCAAGTAGATAAATAGGTACTGCTTCGGTGGGAAGGTAACAGCGTTCTGTGTGCCTCAGCGTCTAGCCATGTGCCGGCCACATGACCACGGAAATGTCTTTGGACAGCGCTGGCTCTTTGGCTTAGAAATGGAGATGAGTTGGATTTGACTGGCTTTCGAGCAAGGGAAACCTTAACTACCACCTTAAAGACTAGCAAAATTCGTAGCAGGGTAGGAGCTTTCGTGACTCACTGCTCGCTTCTTCAGATACAGCTAGAACAGCATAAATTGGTTTTTAAAAATAATGCTTACAAGATTATTCACCAGGAATCAGAAAAGGGTGCCTTTAATTGCAAACTTTGCACTACTATGCCCCCTGGTGGCTGCAAGCCCCAACCATTCAACATGAGAGAAGATTGACAAAAGGGGTCCAGAGTACCTTCTTAATAGGGCTGTGGCCCTTAGCGAGCTTGCCACGTTTTCCTGCAGGCCTTGCTCCTGTGCTTTAATTGCAAACTTTGCACTACTATGCCCCCTGGTGGCTGCAAGCCCCAACCATTCAACATGAGAGAAGATTGACAAAAGGGGTCCAGAGTACCTTCTTAATAGGGCTGTGGCCCTTAGCGAGCTTGCCACGTTTTCCTGCAGGCCTTGCTCCTGTGCTTTAATTGCAAACTTTGCACTACTATGCCCCCTGGTGGCTGCAAGCCCCAACCATTCAACATGAGAGAAGCTTGACAAAAGGGGTCCAGAGTACCTTCTTAATAGGGCTGTGGCCCTTAACAAGCTTGCCACGTTTTTCCTGCAGGCCCTGCTCCTGTGCTTTCAGCAGCAATCTAAGACACGAAAACTTTGCCATGTCAGCCTGAAGGCAAAAAAGCAGAACGGGGGGGGGGGAGTTGGCAACCCAACACAGTGTTCCCTCTAAGCTCAGTTAGTGGGAGCTAGCTCACGGTTTTTTAGCCTCCGGCCCACACATTTTTGTCTTCGCTCAGGAAGGACGGCTCCAGAGCAAACTAATTTATGCAGCAGCCAAATCGCTCCCTCATAACTTTAATGACAGGAGCTCGCAGAGTAGAATTCTTGCTCACAGAACTCCACAGCTTAGAGGTAGCACTGAACCCAAGCTGTTCATGGTTGAACGGAGCTTGCGAGCGGGCACTGCAAACAACAGTTCAAATGGCAAAGCCAGCAGACAGACATTATGCTGATGTTGACATTGCACAAGATTATTACGGGGAAATGTACACAACAGCCAAAAAAAGGTCAGCGGTGAAGTAGCAATTGCTGCTGGCAGTATGAAATGGCCGGGGCGTGCCAAGATCAGCAGTATTTATCGCTATTCATCACTACAATTTTATTCTGCTTTCCTCCACTGGGCGCAGGGTGGCATACACGGAGTCCTTTCCCCTTTGTCCACGCCACAACCCTGCAAGATAGGTTGTTACAGGGGACAGTGAGCGGCCATAGGCCACCCACTGAGTTTTGTGGGTGGACAGGACTTGGTCTAGGGCTGCCAACCTCCAGGTAGCACCTGGAGCTCTCCCACTGTTACAGCTGATCTCCCGATGGCCAAGAGCAGATTTCCCCTGGAGGAGGGTGGACTGTATGGCATTATTGCATGGCTTTTCAATTTCCACCTATCACATAGTTATGGAAGTGTGGTTGGCCTGCGGGTAAAAGACTGCAACCTTGCCTCTAGATTTGCCTCCTGCCTCATACTCCAAATCCAAGTCCAAAGATTTCCTTCCATTCCGTAAGACCCTTCCTAAGTTCTTCATTTCTAGAGAAAGGTTAGGGGCTACCCGGAAAGAGCCCTCCGCGCTCTGGCAGTCCCTGGTGTGCAATTCATGACGTAAGAATGCAAAAAGACGCCCGCTGGGCCCAAGCCAAACTCCACCTGCACCAGGGTCCTGTTTCCAACAAGGGCCAGCCAGATCCCTCCAGGAAGTCCACAAAGAAATCAGAAAAATAACACTCATTTGCCTCCAGCATTCACAAGTATACCACCAGGGCCGGCCCACCTACTAGGCAAACTAGGCATTCGCCTACGGCGGGCCGATCATGAGGGCACCAAAACTGCATCCCCCCCGCCCCTGCCAAAAGCCCTGCATCACTCTGACCCCCGCCACTGCCTCTTTCTCTCCCCCGGCCCGCAGCATGCCGGACCCGCCCCGACCACCCTCCCTACTTCCTTTCTGGGCACCCGATCTCCCAGGGGCGCAGTGAGGCCCCTGCCACCACTGCCCACCCACTCCCAGCCCAGAGCACCTCTTTCTCTCCCCTTTGTGGTTTTTCTGTTTGAGAGAGAAAATCAGAGATTGTATTACTTGTTCTCACGATTTAAAAAATAGCAAGTTCAAATTTTGTGTTTTTCATTCTTCCTAAATGCATTTATGTTTGAAAATTGGTGGGTGCAGGGGGAGGGCACCAGAAGGTAGCCTCGCCTTGTGTGCAAAAAAGCCTGGGGCCGGCCCCCACCTCTGAACATGGAGGTTCCAGTTGGTTATGGCTTACTGGCTTTTGTCGGGAGGGAAGGCAGAATGGTACAGACCGATCCGGTCAGAGCTCGGAAGCAAAGCGGGGGGTCGGTACTTGGAGAGGAGACCAGGAAGGAGGGCTCTGCAAAAGGCCAGGCCAAGCCGCCTCTGCTTCTCACCGGCCTTGAGCAGCCCACACTGGGGTTGCCATAAAGTTGGCCGTGAGTCTGACACCACTGCATGTAGCAGGGTTGGCAGCCGTGGGCTGGGAACTGCCTGGCGAATTCAGGGATGGAGCCTGGAGAGGGTGGGGTTTGGGGAGGGGAGGGGCCTCGGCAGGATAGAATGCCAGAGAGGGTCCCCCTTCCCAAAGAAGTCATTTCCACCAGGGGAACTGATCGTGAACACACAAACACATGCAACTGCCTTCTACTGAATCAGACCCTGGGTCCATCAAAGTCAGTCTTGTCTACTCAGACTGGCAGTGGCTCCCCAAGGTCTCAGGCGGAGTGGAGGTCTTTCACATCACCTACTGCCTGGTCCTTTTAACTGGAGATGTGGGGGCCTGAACCTGGGACCTTCAGCATGCCAGGCAGAGGCTCTACCACTGAGCCACAGCCCCTCCCCAGATCTTGATTATCTGGGCATGGAACAGGGGGGTCACTGGGGGTGGGGTGGAGGGGGAGGTATTTGTGAATTTCCTGCAGCATGCAGGGGGTTGGACTAGATGACCCTGGAGGTCCTTTCCAACTCTCTAATTCTATGGAGATCAACTGTAATAGCGGGAGCTCCCCAGGTGCCGCAGGGAGGGTGGAAACCCTAGGCACTTTACACAGGCACAAGTACAACAGCCGTAGTTAGATCCTTCTTCCATAACAAGATCAAAGCGCTTTGTAGTCCAGCGTCTTCCTTCCCACCGTCAGACAAATAGCGATGGGAAACGCCCAGCAGAAGACGCAGCCTCACAGATCTACTACCTCTGCACATGGAGGTTCCACTCCACCATCACGGTTAGCAGCCATTGATCAAAGTTCTCTTTCCTCCCCTGTGAATTTTCTCACTCCCCCGTTTAACCACCAAAGACAGGAGGCAAACACCTCCCTACAGTTATTGTGTGTGTGTGTGTGTTTTTTTTTAAGGCTCCACCTCTCCGCTCCCCGCCGCCCAATAGCAGCCGAGCGCCTAAAAATAACCGCTTGCAAGGAGACCGCGTCCCGGCTGACATGGAGGCTCCCCTGCGACCACCCCCAAGTCTCCCCGGCATCCAGGCGTGATCCGCCTGGCCGGGTTGGCACGGAGGGGGTCGGAATGGCCGCTCGCCCTGCCTGCCGGCCTTATGCAACAGCCATCCGGGGGGCCGCCCCGTCCACGCCCAGTACCTGCAGTGGACAAATGAGCGCAGCGCAGTCGGGGGCAGCCGCGGTGGAGGAGCAACCCGGCGGCAGCCCGTAGCAGGAGCCGCGGACGCCAAGCAAGCAGCTCCGCGCTTCCCGCAAGCCGCCGGCAGCCGGGCCGACATCAGCAGCCTCTCCAAAGGCCCATCCCCCGAGGCGGAGGAAAGCAAGGGCTCCTCTCGCAACTCTCAGATTTCTTTTCGCCCCCAAAGAAGCGCCTGGCGGGTTGTTTCGGGACTGCAGTCGCCGCCGCCACTCCCCACAGAGTGTTCCGAACTCATTCCGGAACCTTGTTCTACTTACTTCTCTAGTTCGAGAAATTCCAGGAGATATGGGGCGAGCCTACGGAGGGCGGAGTTATTGCAGAGTTTGGGGAGGGAGCGACTTCAGTGGGGTATAATGCCGTAGAGATAGGGATGCCAGCCTCCCGGTGGGACCTGGAGATCCCCTGGCATTACAGCTCATACAGACGACAGAGATCAGTTCCCCTGGAGAAGAGAAAATGGATGCTTTGGAGGATGGACTGTATGGCGATATACCCCCACGGAGGTCGCTGTTAGGGTTGCCAGGTCCGGGTTGGAAAATACCTGGAGACTTTGTGGGTGGATCCAGGAGAGGGTGGGGTTTGGGGAGGGGGGGTCCTCAGCATGGTCCAATGCCATAGGAGTCCATCTTTCAAAGCGGCCATGTTCTCCAGGAGAACTAATCAGTGGGGTATAATACCACAGAGTTAGGGATGCCAACTGTTGTTGTATTGTATTGTAAATTGTTCATTTTATTGTAATTTATTGTTTTAATCATTGTATTGTTTTAATCTGGCACTTAGTGCCCTGTAAGCCGCCCTGAGCCTTCGGGGTAGGGCGGGGTAGAAATTCAAATATAAATAAATAAATAACTCGAACTGCGGCCCAGTTCGGCTCAGGAGAGTGATGTGGGGGAGGAGGAGGACCCTCTGCCTCCCACCTGCTGTTTTCCCCCCAAACCATTTTGGAATTGCATCATGCATGAGCTTATTAACTCCAACCTTGATTTGGAGCAAAAGATATAAAGCAACTAAGAACGGGGGGAACGGGGACACATGCATGTTCCATATATCTCCAATAAGATCTCTGTTAAGAATGTTGCATTGGATGTTTCCTGGCCTTGCTGCCTCTACCATAACACTGACATCAAAAGATCTCCCAGTTTGGTGAAAATTTAACAGAATAAATAAAACTGAATGGTTCAGGAGGGCATTTTTATGAAAGAGACAGGGGTACTAGTTAACGGCGTGTGAAACTGCCGGCAATTTCCATTGCTTTGCGCACAGAATATTATACTGCTCTGCTGAACGCATTATACTTTTTTTTTTTACTGCATTGGTCTGTGTTCATATGTGGTTGAGAGAGAAAGGTTTTATTGTATTTAGCCATAGGCCATTACAAACCACGAGCAGAGAAGCACACAATAAAACATAGAAAATTATAAAAATAAAATGCAGTCTAAAATATTATAAATCCATAAAACCAAGATTATGAACAATTAACTAAATCACAGCATAGCCACCAAGATCCATATTAGCTAGTTCCCCTAAGAACATCATTGGCCCGTATTTTCCTTGTAGCCAAAGCAAATAGAGCCATTCTGTAGGATACATTGACATTGACCTGGTTCAAATCATTTAAGAATGACCATTTGAGATCATTTTACCTGGTTAATTTAGATAGTCATAACCTTAGAGCAGCTTTTACATCCCTGCGTTTTGAATCAGTGCCTACGGCTGTATTAGCTGGCCGCTATAGTAGAACACCCAAGGAACAGCGTTTATGTACGTGGTTGTATTATTGCATTTTTGGTGTGCGCAATCTGCCTTGAGGGTCAGAGAGAAAGGCTAACTAGAAAAGGCCAGGGATTTCCCTGTCTATATATCCCCACCCTTCCTCCAAGGAGCTAGGGTTGCCAACGTCCAGGTGGGGGCTGGAGATCTCCCAGAGTTACAAGTGATCTCCAGGCTGGCCTGTAGCAAACGTGGGGCCCACAGGGCCTGGCCCCCTAGTCTTTCTTCTGGGCCCCCTCCTTCCTGGGCTGTCCCCAAAGTGCCCCAACTTGCCACCTGCATTGTGCTTTGATTTAATTAGCCGGTGCCCCCCCTCCGAGGCCCCCTCCCACAAAATTCCCTCGCTACGGGGCTGTCTCCAGGCGACATTAATCACTCGTTTATTATTTATTTATTTGAAACATTTATTCCACTTCTGGAGAAAATGGTTGCTTTGGAAGGTGGACTGCGTGGCATTGTACCCCACTGAGTTCCCTCCCCTTCCTAAACTCCGCCTCTCCCACGCTCCGCCCTCAAACCTCCAAGTATGTCCAGACTCAGAGCTGGTAACCCTACAAGGCGCTCCGGATGACTTCCAGGATCCTCCCTCCCCCTGTTTTATCCTCATTCCAGCCTTGTGATCTAGGTTAGGCTGAGAGGCAGCGTCAGGATGGAGCCCACAGGGTTGCTAACCCCCAGGTGGGACCTGGAGACCTCCCAGAACTACCACTGATTTCTAGCCAACAGAGATCAGATCCCCCTGGAGAAAACAGCTGCTTTGGAGAGTGGACTCTATGAAGAGAGAGAAGAAGAGATTGGATTTATGCCCTGCCCTTCACTTGGAGTGTCAGAACAGCTTACAGCAGGGATGTCAAACATGCGGCTTGGGGGCCGGATCAGGCCCCTGGAGGGCTTCTATCAGGCCCGCAGTGGAACTGGCTGTCTTCTGCTTCTTCTTCCAGTTCTGCTGCTACTGCTGCATCTTCGTAGGTTTGCAGCTTACAGATACACACCTGAACAGCATACTCAAGATTGCAACGGCACAGTCATTTTGATGGAATAATTCAGAGCAAGAGGTGTCAGTTATCAGACACTGTTAACTAAACAAAATATTGCAAGAGTGCTAATGTTCTAAGCATGTTGTTATTTTAAGTTTTAAAAAAACACCTTTGTGTTTGTGTCTTTTATAAAGTTTATATCTCCGATGCCTGGCATTACATTTTATGACACACATGGCCCAGCCCGACAAGGTCTCATTTATGTCAGATCTGGCCCTCATAACAAATAAGTTCGACACCCCTGGCTTACAGTCTCCTTTCCCTTCCCCTCCCAACAGCAGACGCCCTGTGAGGTAGGTGGGGCTGAGAGAGCTCTGAGAGAATGGGTCTTGAGAGAACGGCTCTGAGAGAACTGGGACTGACCCCAGGTCACACCAGCAGCTCTGTGTGGAGGAGTGGGGAATAAAAACTGGTTCTCCCAGATTAGAGCCCGTTCTCTTAACGGTTACACCAGACTGGCTCTCACTGTACCCAACTGAGGTCCTTCCTCTCCCTCAACCCTGCGCTCCCCAGACTGCATCCCCAAATCTCCAGGGCTTTCCCAACTTGGAGCTGGCAACCCTACATGAGTGTCATAGCAGAAGGGGGATTTGAATACAGGTGGAAGATCTGAACCCAAGTCTCCCAGGTCCTAGTCTAGTAGGCCATGGTGGCCCTTGCCCATTAAATGGAGCAGATGTGGTGAGAATCTCTCCTCCCTGCTGAATTCTGCACATCAAATGGCAGGGAGAGGCACCCTTGAGCCGGCAAAGCTGGGTTTCTTTCTGGAGAGTTGGCAGATGCGTTTGGTCCAATGACTTTGTTCGTCTGTGTTGCAGTGCTTAGAGCTGAATCCACAGTGCTGGGTTGTGCTGCCATGACACAGGTTTACTTCCTTCTTTACTCTGAAGCTGCTTCCTATGCAGTGTTCCCACTAAGCTGAGTTAGTGTGAGCTAGCTCACTGTTTTTTAGGCTCTGGCTCACACATTTTTGTCTCAACTCAGGAAGGGTGGGTCCAGAGCAAACTAATTCATGCAGTAGCCAAATCGCTCGCTCACAACTTTAGTGCCAGTAGCTCACAAAGTAGAGGCTTTGCTCACAAGACTCCGCAGCTTAGAGGGAACATTGTCAATGCTACCTCTGGGTTAGGAACTACATGGCAGGTTTTGGGGGTGGAGCCTGGGGAGGGGAGTCCCCAGAAGGGCAGCGCCTCTCCCCTTCAACCCTGAAAACTGATTCACTGCAGAGAGGCTGGGCAGGGCTTCTGAGCAGACATTTTGGAGGGGAGAGAGGAGGAGAGCAGTGTGGTGTGTTGACGTTCCACTCCGTGACTCTGCTCACCAGAGGTAACATGGAGCCGGCCGGTCTTTGGCCTCTCATCTTCCTGAGCCTCTTGGCACAGGCAAGTAGGTGACGGGGGCGATGTGACCGGGGCTGGCAGTAGGAGGATCCCAGAATTCAACAATTCTGGTCCAAAATAATTTTGTCGATAAAAGATATCACTGGTTATTTGCTTCCCATGCAGCCTGAACGTATTCTCTTAGATTATTGGAATGACACCCATGTTCCTAAACTTAGACAAGAACTTATATCAGTTCTATTGATGGCTGCAAAAGTAGTCATTGCTGGTAGTTGGAAGTCTCCAAATAAATTGTTATTATCTTCTTGGTGTATAAAGTTATGGGAATATTATGCAATGGATAAAATATCTGATGTTGTTGCTAGTGCTAACATGTCTAACAGGGAATCAAACCTCCTATTGAAATGGTTTCCTTTTCTAGAATTTATATTTAACGTTGACTCTGCTAAGTTCAAGGTTCCTCAAAAGTACTATGAAGTTTTTCATTACATGTAAACTTATCTGAACAGAGTTTCCTACATTTATTATTACCTTATCTAATTCGACTGTCGATAACTATTCTCACTGTATTTTGTTCTTTTTACTGTTTAAAAATAAAATAAAAACTTTAAAAAACAAACAAAACCCCCCCCTCTCTTTTAAACCTTATGTCCAGATGTGTGGCTGTTCTTCTTCCTCATCCCCCATCCCTTGCTTGTCCCCCTTCCACCGTGCTTCATCCAGACTTCATCTCATGCTGAGGGAGAAAGCAGGTAAATACTGGCACTGAGGAGGAGTGGCAGCCACAGAAGTGGCTTTTGGTCCAGAGAAAGAGGCTTGGAGGAAAAGCCAGTTAAGTTGGCAGAAGTCTCCGTAGGCTTGAGCAAGCGTCCCCAACATCGTGCCTGTGGGTGACCTGGCACCTACCCCACACTTTCTATGGTGCCCACAAAGGGTTTTTAACCCTAAGGATGGGCCTAACGAGATACCACATTTTTAAACGAGTTGGATCGTATCCAGGTTCCCCGGGTGCAACACACTTTTCCTGCGGTCGGACTGCGGCTGCAGGGAACGGATTTTTCAAGTGGATTGGAACCACAGCAGTGTTCCCTCTAAGCTCCACAGTGTTGTGAGCAAAATTTCTACCCCATGAGTGAAAAAAGCTAGTAGCATTAAAGTTGTGAAGCAAGTCTACATTTGACTATCGTGTAAATCATTTTTAGAAGGTTATTTCCATAACCTTGTAAAAGTCTCAGAATGGATTCTTTTAAACTATATTTTAAGAATAATTTAAACATGATAAGAGAACAGAGAATCAAGTCAAATTTCATTACACAAAAGTGTTGTCCACTACAGGGGTTGACCAGACCTTCAGAAAACAGGTCTACCCACCCCTTGGCACTGTATTGGTAGACCTGGCCTCCAGAGAACTGGTCTATCCCCAATTCTTCTTTTGCTTTGCTGTCTCCTGCAATTGTATAATAAAGATTTCTTTTTGCAATTATTTTTAGTGTCTTTCTTCAACATTCCCAGGAGTTCTGATGCCATGCATTTTATACAGTATCCCCGATCTTCCATGTTTCCCTGTTAATGGGAAAATGCTGTTCAAACCAATTGCAAAGATGATTTTACTCCAATGGTATCAAGAGAAATAAATTTTACTTACAGAAATAGAAGCACATCTTCCATGTCATGTTCATGTAGATACATTTAACATTGTGTGTTCCACTGCCATACATTTTTAACTCTCCTAATTTAGTAGGGCACATGTGCAAAACAGTGACATGCTAAAATATTTTGCTCTGCAGGTATAACTGTACGCTGCTGAAGCAAGCATTGGCAGCGCTGCTGGATCTGGTGGCATGGGAAAATGGAACACTAGATATAGGTATAGATGGAACACACTGCCTGGGGCCATGATGCTCTGTGTTCTTGGTGCTTGGGGGGCAAGAGTAGGAGGGCTTCTGGAGTTCTGGCCCCACTGGTGGACCTCCTGACGGCACCTGGGTTTCAGCCACTGTGTGACACAGGGTGTTGGCCTGGATGGGGTGACCGAAAGGAAACTACAGGAGTCACTTTGTGGCTGGCTCCACCTCACGCAGCAGCCATTTTGTGGCAGCCATTTTGTGGTTGTTCCCACTACGCTATGTCAGAATTTCAAAAGGGCCTGCAGGCTCAAAGAGGTTGGGGAGCCCTGCTCTTGGAACTCCCCCCCAAAACTGTTTTTTTTTACCATAGAGGGTTTTTTTTGGGGGGATTCCTAGAGTGCCGTGCCATCAATCCATTCCCCTTCCCCTCCATGTCCCCCTGCCTCATTTGAGCACCAGTGGGGACAGGGAAGCTTGGGTGGGAGTTTGCCCTGGAGAACTGAGCAAATGGTTAAACTTATGGGGTTGTTATGAGGATAAGGGAGGGAGGGGGGAAGGAAGGAAGGAAGGAAGGAAGGAAGGAAGGAAGGAAGGAAGGAAGGAAGGAAGGAAGGTGAGGTTTCCCCCGGGGCCCGATTCTGCGGCGGCGGAAATCGGGCCTCCAAAGCGGGGGGAAATCCGCCCCCCGGGGGGACTTGGCAGCCCTAAGGGAGAATATTATGACTGTCGCTTTGAGCTCCTTGCAGAAACTATTTGCAAGTGTGCAGGCAAGCATGATGAGTCGAGACCGCTAGAATCCAGCCCTTCCATTTGTGAAAAATGTGTTCCTTAGCTGGAGAAGAGCTAAGACAACGCCTTCCCTCCCCAGACTTCTCCAAGAGGTCTGTATCCCTCCTGCCTGGACTCTCAGAGGTGTCAGGGAATGCAAAGTACGTGGCGGGGGGGGGAGGGATGGGGACAAAATCTTTTATTGGAGAATACAGATATATGGGCTTCAGGAACACATTTGCAGAAACAGATTGGGGACTAAGAGAGCAAGCCTCAGCAGGTCTATTCAGAGGGAAGTTCCATCCTGCTCTGAGGGGCTTACATCCAGGAAATCGTTCATAGGAGTGCTGCCTTACTACTAAACAGAAACATTAATTATGGGGGAGACTACCGATTTTTTCCCAGCTCCCTGCTTTGTTTTGCGAAGGCTACGGGCTTATGTAGGGAGAAAGTCTACAGGCTCCTGTGGCTGATTAGCTAGAAGAAAACGTGGAGGGCTTCACCACCACATAGCCTTTGATTTCATAATTTAGGGATTGCCAGTCAATCAAGTAGTTGGAAAGGCGGTCGCCATACCGAACGGAGACCACCTCCTGGGAGGAAAGCACCCGATCCCACATGAACACATCCGAGATCTCCCCTGTGAAGGACTCGTTGATGTCAAAGCCTCCTCCAAAGGAATCCTGCTCCTGCCCAAGGACGATAGAAGCTTCCGGACCGATGGTGTAACCTCTCTTCATTCCCTTGCGGGGCAAGCTAACCCCGTTCAGCCAAAGCTCTGCTATTCCTGTGACGGACTCCCAGCTGACACAAATGTGCTCCCACAGCGGTTTGGGGACCGGATTGTCTGCAATGCTGAAGGTCACCATTGACCCCCCCACATACAAACTGTATTGGTTGGGTTTGTGTTTGTAGACCAGCAACTCGTTGTAGGCCTTCCTGGTGGCGTACGAGAAAAGGCTGTGGCCACGGCTCAGGTCTGTGTAGGATCTCAGGCAGACGGTGAAATTGGTCAAAGGTTGCTGACGCACAGGCCTCAAAATCACATGAGCTGTGTTGGATGCCTCTGGGAAAACCAAAGTCTTCTGTTTGAGGTCTGTAAAAGAGGCCAGAAAATAATGGGGATTTTTTTTTTTTACCCCTCTTGAATAGCACAGGCAGTTGTCAAGCTGACTGGTGGCTCTGAGAGGATCCCTGATTGGTTGTCAGAAGAATTCCTGATTGGCCAGCGCCAGCACATGCAAGTGTGTGATGCAGGGCGGCTTACAGCATACAGTCCATAAAACAATAAAACCATAAAACCAATAAAACAGTTGATGGCATGGTAGACAATATCATGAACTGTGTCCTTTACATTTCTCCACAAGATGAAGGAGGAGGAGGATTGGATTTATACCCCGCCCTTCACCACCCAAGGGAGTCTCAGAGCAACTTAAAAACCCCTTTCCCTTCCCCTCCCCACAACAGACACCCTGTGAGGGAGGTGGGGCTGAGAGAGCTCTTGACAGAAACTGCACTTTTTCAAGAACAGCTCTTATCAGAACTACAGCTTGCCCAAGGTCATCCAGCAGCTACAAGTGGAGGAGTGGGGAATCAAACCCGGTTCTCCCAGATTAGAGTCCGTGCACTTACCCACTACACCATGATGAACCCGACCCGATCGTGATTGGGCAATGCCAGCAGAACTGCTGAAACCTCCGAATGGAGGCAAATGGACATTTTGAAATACAGGTTTCTCCCAGGTTGGCACTTCCAGATGTAACATGAGGGAATTTGTATTGGACAATCCCCCCCCCCAGTTCTTTTTTGAACATCTCTGTAGAGTGGACAGCCTCCATGCCCAAACTTCCAACCCACCCCTCTTTGGCTCATGCACACCTCGTTTGTTCCTATTGCTCAAACCAGCACCTACCTTCCAGGGCCAGAGACCCCAAGGAGCTCACCAGGATGAGGAGAAAGGTCTGCCGGATCTTCATGGTGGCCGAATGCAGAAAGCACCGGGAGGGAAGACCAAATGTTGTCCTCAGCAGGATCTACCTTAGGGGCTTCTTTCCTGGATGAACCCGACCCCCAGCTACGAGAGCTCCGACCTGCCTCAGATCCTGACCCAGTCCTCTACCACCCATGCAGCACAGACTCGACATCACACTGAGAACCATTTCGTGACGTTTATGAACCCCGGACTCTGAACTGGAGGTGTTTGTCTGGACCACTGCCAGTTTGACAGCAGTAGCAAAACAGACCGGACTATTGCCGATGTAACCAAACAAGAACACAGCCCATTTCGGTAACCTGGTACAATGAATGTATTTCGTGCCGGGAATAAGGGAGTTCAAATAAAGAAAGGGTTGATCGTACTACCCACCCGGAACACTCCACAAGTTTGGAGATTGTTCCCTCTAAGCCACACTGTTCTGAGCCGAAACTCTGCCTCGTCTGTGAAAAAAGCTAGTAGCATTAAAAGTTAGTAGCATTAAAGTTGTGAGTGAATACAGATTTGACTATTGCGTAAATTAGTTTTTCAGAAGATTACTTCCATAACCATGTAAACATCTCGGAATAAATTCTTTTAAATTATGTTTAAACTAGATTTTAGGAATAGTTTAAACATTATAAGAGAAAACAGACTCAAGTCAAATTTCACCCACCCCTTTCCACTATATTGGTAACCTATCCTCTAGAGAACAGGTCTACTCACCCCTTTCTACTATATTTCCACTACCCACCCCTTTCCACTGAGAGCCAGTTTGGTGCAGTGGTTAAGAACACAGACTCTAATCTGGGAGAACTGGGTTTGTTTCCCCACACCTCCACATGCAGCTGCTGGTGTGACCTTGGGTGAGTCACAAGCTCATTCAGAGCTGTTCTCTCATGAAGGGTTCTCGAGAGAGGTCTCTCAACCCCACCTACCTCACAGGGTGTTTGTTGTGAGGAGAGGAAGGGAAAGAAGAAGAGATTTATACCCCACCCTTCACTACCCAAATGAGTCTCAGAGTGGTTTACAATCTCCACATGTTGTAACCTCGATTAGGGAATTCTATATAAACTGCTTTTATAGCCTGCCTTTTAGGTCATCTCAAAACACCACGCTGTAGAATTATACTAGACAGGATACATTGCCCATTTTAAAAAGTTATATCGATACTGCTTGATACTCATCACAGAGAATTGTAAGCCTGAGATAACTGGCATGTAATTTTGGCCTTTAGTGAAACAGGAGCATGAGCAGGGGAAACTTTGCCAGCCCCAGTTAATTGTGAATATAAGAAGGGCAGAGAAGCAGCCGCAAAACAGTAATAAAAGGGATACCAACTCCCTCCCCAATCCATGTCACATCACCTTGTTCCTTGGTATTGAAGTTGCCAAAGTTTTTACTGGCCCTTGCTCCACTGCATTTAACAGCAGTTTGACCAACAGACAAGATTGTCTGTCACACACATCCAGGATTTTGCCACCCTCTATTTTATTTTCATCAGCCCTGGAAGGTAGGTTAGGCTGAGAGATAGTGACTAGCCCTTGATGACTTCATTGGCTGAGGGAGGACTTGAACCCAAGCCTCTCGAGTCCTAGCCCTGCACACCACCCTGGCCCTTGCTCATTGAGCAGATAGGGATTTTGAGAATCTCTCCCTGCTGGTTTCTGCACATCACATGGCACTTACAGGCACAGCTGAGCCAACAAAGCTGAGTTCTTTTCTCAGCAGTTGGCCGTGGCCTTTGGTCCGGCTTTGTACATCTGTGTTGTGGTGCTTGGAGTTAAATCCACACTGCTGGACTGTGCTGCCATGGAGTTGTCTTTCCTTGTTTGTTTTGAAGCTGCCTGTGACTTCTCGGCCAGGCTTTGTTCTCTGGACTTTGAAGATCTTCCGCTGAATTCCCAGAAAGACAGTGCTTCCTTGCCAATCCTAAAAACTGATTGACTGCAGAGTGGATACCAGAGACCGGGCAGGGCTTTCAAGCGGACATTTTGGAAGGCAGAAGAGAGGAGGAGGGTGCCGTGGTGTCGACGTTCCACGCTGCGGCCCTCTGCTCCCCAGGGATAACATGGAGCAGTCCCGACTTTGGTCTTTCGTCTTCCTGGGCCTCTCGGGAGCTCTGGCACAGACAAGTAGGTGGTGGAGGTGGCAATCTGGGCTGGTGAAAGGGGGGATCCAAACCCATATTTTGAAGGATGGATTCACTGGTTTGGTAAGCCAGTAATCTGTATTCTACTGCAGCAGAGCGCACTTAAAAGACTAAACGCAGCAGAGCTTCTTTTTGTTCCTGCAAGTGCCGGCAAGTTACAGAGTTATATAGAGCCTCTTGTCAATTTCAAACTAACCAGAGTTCTTTATGTAGTGAGCGCCATTCTAGATAGTAAAGATGAGAGATAGGGAAAGGATCTAACTATTCTAACTATCTGGATGGATGCAGATGGAGGCTGCATCCATGGTGCAAAGAGAGGAGAGCAACACGCTCCTTTTCTTTGTGCGTGTGAGAGAGAAGAGGTGGGAACAGAAGGAAGGAAGGAAGGCAGGAAGGAAGGAAGGAAGCAAGGAAGGAAGGAAGGAAGCAAGGAAGGAAGGAAGGAAGCAAGGAAGGAAGGAAGGAAGCAAGGAAGGAAGGAAGGAAGAAAGGAAGGCAATTTCCCTGAGAGGTATCAGTGGCAGAAGAGCAAACAGGAAGGAACCCCAGTTTGCCTATCTATCTACCTAATTCTCTTGTAACCACGCTCTGGAGGCTGAGGCTAAGGGAAAGCGTCAAGGCCTTCCCTTCCAACATTTTTAAGCTGTTGTTCTAGACGTGCTGATGTTTGGAGAGCCAGTTTGGTGTAGTGGTTAGGAGCGTGGACTTTAATCTGGGAGAACCGGGTTTGGTTCCCCACTCCTCCACATGCAGCTGCTGGTGGGACCTTGGGTCAGTCACAATTTCTCTCAGAGCTGTTCTCTCACAAGCAGTTTTCGAAAGCGCTCTCTCGGCCCCACCTGCCTGTTACGGGGAGGGGAACTGTTATGGGGAGGGAAAGGGAAAGGAGAGTGTAAGACGCTCTGAGACTCCTTTGGGTCGTGAAACTCAGGGTATAAATCCAATCTCTTCTTCTTCTTCTTCCCCATCACCACCCCTTCCTTGTCCTGTTCCCAGCTTCCTTCTCTGTCCCCGATCCAAGCTTCCCCTTGTGAGGGAGAGAGCAAGTAAATATTGGCACGGGGGAGGGGCAGCAATGGAAGCAGCTTTCAGTCCCTCTAACTAAGATGGCCATTTCCCCCACTTTGCTGAGCAACTCCCCTCCCCCGCCTTCATTCCCCACGGCCACCTGCTGGCATGGCTGAGGAAAAAATGGCGGGACATAGAATCATAGATTTGGAAGGGACCTCCAGGGTCATCTAGTCCAAGGCCCTGCACAATGCAGCAAGTTCACAAATCCCCCCCCCCACACCCCCACTGACCCCTGCTCCATGCCCAGAAGAGGGCAAAAACCCTCCAAGATCCCTGGCCCACTGGCCTGGAGAACAATGGCTGCCTGACCCCAAAGTGGCGATCGACATTTCCCTGGGTGTGTCAGAAAGGCCATGAGGACTAAGCACTGAGGCAACCCTTCCTTGCCCTCCCTCTCTTGATCTCCCACAATGCCCAATGTCACTAATTGTAAGTGAGGTCACTGTGTCATGGGCCGCTCTAGGACTCCCTCATAACTCTATGTTATTTAAGCATCTGGATATGACATCATGGTGTCACAGGATGCTGTTTGGTATGTCTCTACCCCTGTTTCTGAGGGGTTATCAGCTGGAAATGGCTACACTAGGATTGCCAGCATCCAAGCGGGTTCTAGAGATCTTCCAGAATTACAACTGATCTCCAGACTACACAGATCAGTTCCCCGGAGGAAATGGCTGCTTTGGAGGGTGGACTCTATGGTATTATGCCCTCCTTCCCCAGGCTCCACCCCCAAATCTCCAAGAATTTCCCACCCTGGAGTTGGCAACCCTATGACTTTTGTCGGCCTAGTGATGGATCAAGCTAGATGTCATATTTTGTAACGAGTCACGTCCAGGTTCCCCAATGTGACTCGCTATCCCCACAGCTGTGGGGAACTAATATTTTTTAAGCCCCACAGGGGCCCGGTTTGGGTTTGGACCACAGCGGTGGTGGGGAGGGAATTCATCCCCCTCCCCATACAGTTTTCGTGACCCAAAAAGGTCTTGAGTTGGTGCTATTTGCCCAGTTTTGGAGTGGCACATGTAGGGGGCAGGGGTGGCTTGAAGCTCCTTCCTCCATCCCACAGCCGTGGTCCAGACTGCTTGGAAAATCGGTTCCCCTCAGGTGCTGTCTGGCTGTGAGGAAAGCGAGTCAGATCAGGGGGAACCTGTACCTGATTCATTAAAACACACGGTGCCTAGTCTGAACCCATCACCACAACTGCAAAACATGTATCAAATTTTAATACTGACATTTAAAATTTAAGGGAATTTTCGGGCCTGGGGGGTGCATTTTGGGGAAGGGTGTCACTTTCAAATGTGACTAAAAGCATACCCAGGAGATTCAGGTTTCTTCTGCCTCTCCCACACCTTATTTGAAATTGAACCGTCGATTTTTCTCATTCTTACAAATTGCATGTTCCCATGTAGCATTTCTGGGACCTCCTCACTCGATATGGCACATTTAGATATATTTTTGTAGACTCGGCTGTTTCCAAAGTTAGCTGAATCAGGCTGTGAGAGTGTGCACGCGGCCTCCCACTTACATTCCACACAGATTTAGGGCCATTTCCGCACTGTCATTTTCGTTACTCCTTTGTCCCTATTGCTTTGGGTCGTCCCCCCCTTTTCCACACGTATTTTGCTCCCTCTGGGACCACTTAGAGAGAGCAAAACACATTGTGAGGAAAAAACCCTGAACCAAGTGGTAAAAGAGTTGTGAGAGATTCAAGCCAGACTCCTTGAATAACCAACTCAGTAGCATTATACTTAAAGAACAACACATTTATTCAAGGGGGGGGAAAGCAAAAGAAATCAGGCATCTCTGAAATCTTGTCTTCCCTGTCTGTCAGGCTTGGATGGGAAGGTGTTTGTGTTCCCAAGCCCTTCAACCAATACCTACGTCCTGTTGAAGCCCAATCTGCCGGAGCGGCTACACCAATTCACCGCGTGCCTCAGGTTCTACACCGATTTGACCCGCGAATTCTCCCTTTTATCCTGTTCTTCGAAGAACCGCGACAATGAAATCCTCCTCCTCAAGTCCAGTCCCACAGTGTACAACGTGTATGTGGGTGGGAATTCTCTCTCATATACAGTGACCGGGAACACAGAACAAGGCAGCCACTGGGAGGATATCTGTATGGTGTGGAATTCGACTACAGGGATTATTCAGCTTTGGGTCAATGGGCTGGCATTGCCCAGGAAAGGACTGTCAAAAGGCTATGTTCTCAAGACAGATTTAGTGATGCTGCTGGGCCAGGACCAAGATTCTTATGGAGGTGCTTTTGATCAACAGCAGTCCTTTGTGGGGGAAATGGCAGAGGTGTATCTGTGGGATACCGTCTTGCCTCCAGCGCAACTGAGGAGGAGGCAGAGGGAGAAGGTGCCAACCCCTCTGGTGGACTGGACAGCTCTGAACTTTGAGACCAAAGGCTATGTGGTCTTGGAACCCACCTTTGAGACCTACAATCTATGACTCAGTGAACATCTACCCCCCAATTTGAGATCAAAGGCTACATGGTCTTGGAGCCCACCTTAGCTTGAAATCTAAGATCTTCAATTTGATGGACAGCCCTGAACTTTGAAATTAAAGGCTACGTTGTCTTGGAACCCACCTTAGACCGAAGTCCTAAAAGCTATGACTCGATGGACATCTACCCCCACTTTGAAATCAAAGGCTACATGGCCTTAGAGCCCATCTTAGATTGAGACCTAAAAGCTACAACTTGATGGACAGCTCTGAACTTTGGGATCAAAGGCTACATGGTCTTGGAGACCACCTTAGATCGAGACCTAAAAGCTACAGCTCGAAGGTGAATCCTCGATGGGCTAAAACAGGTGTCCCCGCCTTTTGATGCATCCCTACCTGAACACAGCCCAATCAATCATGTGTGTCAGCCTGGACTCTCTACGAATTGCTTTTGTAGCCTGTCTAGTAACCCATGTAGAGCTTTTCTGCATGGGTTATTTGCCTTCAGATCAATCCTGTTAGGAAGAGTTTTTTCTTTTCATGTTTTCCCATGGCATAGCGGTGCATTTGTGCACCTCCTGGGTCTTGGTGTAGTGGTTAAGGGTGCGGACTCTAATCCGTGAGAACCGGGTTTGATTCCCCACTCCTCCACTTGCACCTGCTGATGTGACCTTGGGTCAGTCACAAGCTCTGGCACAGCTGTCCTTGAAAAAAGAGCAGTTTCTGTCAAGAGTTCTCTCAGCCCCACCCACCTCACAGGGTGTCTGTTGTGGGGAGGGGAAGGGAAAGGAGTTTGTAAGCCGCTCTGAGACTCCAAGTGAAGGGCGGGGTATAAATCCAATCTCTTCTTCTCTTCTTCTTCCCCATCTTTTGTCTCACCTTTCCCAAACTGGGTGGGATTGGGTAGTTTGAAGCCTAGAGCTCTTGCAAACAAACCACTCTGAGCTACAGAAACAGTGGGTCTCACTGCCAAAAGCCCCTAACAAGGGAAGTGTGTGGGAACAATGGGAGCGATAGTTTTATATACATACATTTCTAATGCACGTGAAAGATTTCAACAAGTACCTTGAGGAGATGGACAGAGAGGTAGGAGGAAAAGAAACTTCACTTAAGCCATCATAATAGCTCAACTGAAGCTTAATTTTCCTAACAGAAATCAAATGGGCTCCCTGGGAAGCAAGGACAGGTTCACGATTAGCTGGATTCATGATGCCAACTTACCTAAGCATCAGGAACCGGGCCAGAGAGAGAGAGAGAGAGAGAGAGAGAGAGAAACCTTTGCCAGCTGAGACAGATTTCAAACTTCTAAAAGTGGATTCTAAAGGAAAACCCCTGTTTTCCCACAGAATGGGGAAATAAAATAAAGTTTCTTTTCCGTAAGAAAGGAACTTAGGTTTCTATAAAAGTCCTCACGATCAGACAGCTGATGATGGAGTTTAAACAGCAAAGCGGGAGGAGAAGGTTTGGGGACAGATTTGAACACTGACCAAAGCAGAAGGGCACACAGGCCTCTTTCTCCACCTTCTTTGTTTGAAATTGCTTGGTGATGTACTTTGAATGCTACTTACATGTAACCATGAATCATAAAGTTATGCCATGTCATGCAGATTAATGCTATACATCTATACATGCTTCCATATAATACATGCTTATGTTATGCACACACTATACACTATAGTATCCATCACTGCTCGTAACCAGGAACTCTTGAAGGGATGGTTTTTGGGGAAACTAAGGAATAAAGAAGAATGATTGTCATAGAAGGTTTAGTTCCAAATTGGATGCTGTCAAGAGACAGGCCACATCAACAGCACTGGGCCAAAGTAGAAGTGGGTTTAGGAACAGTTCCAGCACAGGACAACTTGACCCGGTAGAGTTGGGGTGTCCTTGGCAAGGGGAAACCCAGACGGGACACACGTGTTTTTCATGACCATATGATAATTTTTGCCAGTAATGCAGAAATCCAAGAGTATTTGTAAGAATCTGATTGAGTTAGAAGAGTGGGCAGATGAGCGGAGTAGAGTTTAAGTAGAGGAATATCCAATGGGAGTCAGGCGGGGAGGATCCAAAGCCTTTCTCCATCACTTCCTGTCTTTCAGGTATTCATCTGATGGAGGTAAGGCCTTTTCCTTCCAAGCCACCTTTGGGCCAACTTTGAATGTACTCTACTACCCTTTAGCCTGGAGAACTGGTGAGATTCATATGCTGCTTGCTATGTTCTTATGTTGCTTTTCATGCTCCATGCTGCTTATGCTTTATGCTGTTTTAAGCAAAATTAATGCTTCAATATAGGCAAGGACAGGGGTCTTTTAGTAGAAAAAGAGGTGCAGGAGCTCATTAGCATAACTTATTAGCATAACTTATTTTCGAAATGACAACAGCGCTGATAATGAAGCTCAAGATAATGAATCCTTCTGGACTGAATCGAGACCTAGATTTCCTGTCTCATTACTAATGCTGATTTTTCCATACCTAGTACCCCTCTGCACATCAAAGCTAATCCAATTACACCTGATTTTTAAAAGCTGATTAATGTTTTTGAACATTCGGAGACTTACTAATGATTAATTTAGCAAATATACAACTCCCCACAATATTCTATTTTGTGGATGCAGAGAAAGCATTCGACTGAGTTGAATGGAAATATCCAGAGAAACTCTTAAAAGCTTTTTTGTCCAGGAGATAATTTTTGTAAACGGGTCAGTTTGATATATCATAATCCTACAGCAAGACAAAGCATTAACTATTGTTATTCCATTCCCTCCCAACCACAACATGAGTAAGGTAAGGATGCCCTTTGTCTCGTCTTTCATTTAATCTAGGGATAGAGGTTTTAGCTATTAATATTCATCAAAACCATGCCATTCGGGGTATCAGATCTTGGAGTGTTGTAAGAAAAATGATGTTATATACAGACAGCTTCGCATTCAGTTTATTAAAAACCTAAGAAGCCAATAGAAGAATTGTCTAAGATCCTGCACTGTTTTGGTGTCAGGTTATAAATTTGGTGTCAGGTTATAAAATGAATACTGATAAATATGTTCTATTGGGACTCCTAGTAAAACAAGAGGTTAAGTTAGAGATCTCTGCCCTTACTGGATCAATATGGCAAGTTAACAAGGAATTTCATTTTCCAATAACCCGAAGTCAATGATGAGTGATAAGAGAAATCTTGAAGTAAAAGATATAGAAGAACTTTAAAACCAGAATAATTATAAGATCTCTTGATTAGGATGCTCAGCTGCATTAAAACTGGAACTCTTACCTAGAATTCTGATTGTGTTTATGGCCCTATCGATGGCCAGCCCTAAAATTCTAGATTACAGTTTTTATTTAATAAATTCATTTGAAGTTACAGGTAGCCCAGAATTCAACAAAACATTATACAACAATCTTGGCAGAAAGATAGAATAGCAACACATAATATTAAAAAGTTGTTATGCATCTATGATAACTGCAATTTCAGTACTGGTTTCTGGTTTAGGAAAGACAGACCACAAAAGGTACTGAGTACCAGAGAGCACACAAAGAATGCTGAGTACCAAAGGCCACACAAATGAAAAAAGGATGATATACTTAACTGTGAACAAAGCAAATATTAATATATACAGTGCAAACAGCACACTGTAATTAGTGAAAACAGTCCCTATACACAGTGCATGATACAGTCAGGTATGACCATTAAGGTATAAAAATTCAGTACATTATACAGTTAATTATGATAGTTAGTAAAGTACATTGACAGTCTGTCAGCTAATTAAGACACTGTTTCATTATCATCTTCAGAACTGTTTCTGTTACAGTCCTGTCACAGAATGGCCTCATATGGTTGTTATAGTTATTTATATCTCAGCCAATCATAGAAAAAAAGGGGGACATTTAAATCATATATCTGTGATCCAGTTTCTCATGTACAGTTCTGATAATCTTTCATGTACAGCTCTGATAACAAAGAGGACAAGATAAGTGAGAATTGTATCAGTCCCACTTTTATGTGTATCATGCCCTGTATATATGGACCGTTTTCACAGATTGCATTGTACTGTTTGCAGTGTAGCCTATATATCTCTCCTATATTATAATCCTGTTTTGGGGTGGCAAGATTTGATGTGCACCAAAATCAGTTGGCTGCCTGAACTGTCACTCAGAAACGGGTCCCTGTCCACTGGCTGCATTGCCTTTGTCCCGCCTACGAAGGAACAGCACTGGCCACAAATTCCCTCAGAAGACAGTTGCTTCCCCTCTCTGAAGGACCTTGGCAGCTCACAAGACAGTCGAAGCCGCCAACTGGAACAACAGAAAGGAGTCTGGAGCCCTCACTGGACGGAGACAAACACCTCTGCAGTGGGCCTGGCGGGTCCCGTTGTTAAAGAGCCGCGCAATGGGCTGCTGCAGATCGGCCACGCAGCAAGGCTGGCAGATGTCTGTTTCTCCAATCACCACCAGCTCGAGTGGCATTACAACGCCATGCTTCATCCATGCCTGGATCCTGCCCTTCCTTCCTCCCGCCAAGGGGCTCAGGGGCAGAGCCGCCCTCTCTTCCCCACTCCGCTTTGGGCCCCGCACCCGTTGCAGAGAGCTGAGCCGGGGGTGCAACGCACCCTTGCCCAGCAGGCTGCAGGAGGCCTGCCCCAGCGGCGCACGGCCCTCTTTGGTGCGCCCTTCCAGGCGCCCCACCATGGTGCCCTCGCACACTAGGCCTGCCATGGTGCTCCATGCTGAGGCAGCCCCATCCCCTCATGGCTGGCGCCTGCCCAGCCCAGGAGGTGCCGTGCTTGTCCCCTTTCGCTCCTGCTGCCGCCTCTGCTTGAAAAGGGCAGTAGGGCCCCAGGAGGCGCACGCTCCCCACCCTGGCTGGCAGGTTCTGGCTTCAAGGCCATTTGCAGCCCAAGACTGCCGCCGCTTCACCCTTGGCGTGCTCCCCGCTGTGCAGGCCCTCCTCCTCCTTGGGGCAGGCAGCTAGGAAGGTCCGTCGCGGTGAGTGGGGCAGTTCGCCTCGGTCTCTCCTGTCCCAGCCTCTTCTTCCGCTGCTGCTGCGCGACAGCCACCAGCTTGCTCAGAAGAGGCCGAGCCTGGCTGGAGGCAGTGGAGGTGGCTCTGCAGGCATGCTGCAACCGGGAGGACCCTGCGCGGTGTCTCCAGGGGCCTCCCGCCTCGCCCAGGGGTAGGCAAGCCCAGCCCACTGCGCCGGCCTCTGCCATCGTCCTCCCCATCTCCCCCCACCCCAGGCTACCTGTGCCCCCTGCCCCGTGACGGGAGAGAGGGAGGAGGGAGGAGGCTGACCGATGGCCTCCCCAAACAGACAGCTGCCCACGGCCCAGTCCAGGGCTTGTTGTATTGTTTTTACAATGGGATTGGCTCCTAGTATATACATAAAAGGCAAACCGTGTTGCCAATGTCTCA